GGGGCAGGGGCGAGGTGGAGAGGAGAGACGTGACGGGGATGGAAATAAAACGACTTCCGTTTTTCGCACTGCCTATTTAAGTTATTTCGTTTCCTGTCTAATAGATGTCCGTGATAAGCAAACCGGGGCGACGCAGTGCTACTTCAGCTTGTAGGCTAATGAAGAAGCGTTCGGGGAAGGGCTCACCTGCTGTGGAGGGCGGCCGGGTGGCCCGGCGCCCTCCTCATGGGAGCCGTTCACTTCCCGGCCATCGGCGGCCGCTCTCCGCCGACAACTGTTTCCCGGGAAGCCGTTCGCCCGCCATTGTTATACGTCAGGCCAGACGAGGCGTGTAACAATGTTACAAAGGGAAGGAACATTACGCGTTTCCTGGAAGTCGACCAGAAAAGTACTCTGGTCCTATATGGCCGATTATGGACCTTAAGAACAGTGGTGGTTTTGTATAATGAGGGGCATGTGAGCCCGATCAATCGCATGCATTTTTTCTCTTTAAAATATTTCTTGAGCTAGGGAAAGCTGTAGCAGATAGTGTAGTGTACGGCCGATTTCCAAGCAACGATATCTTAATCAACTTTTACGTTGGCGAAAGATTATCCTATTCTTTTCACAAAAATTAAGATGGAAAAATCTGGAGTAAACAACACAGTAATTTGTGAAATCAAATTAAAGGGGCCGATGACCTTCCTTTACTTAATGCGTATGGACATGGAACCCTCACTTGACTCCCAGGACCCTCTTCCGCGTATACCCATGAAATACCATGAACCAACTACGGACGGGGGGAACAGAATTCGCAAATAAGGTCCATTCTAAAATTGAATTCCCGCACAGACGAATGGCCGAGTACGTATTAAATATTGATCATTGGTTTACACAAATGCACGCAATTATGTTCTTCCTCAAAACCAGTGGCGTTTTCTTTGGGTGTGCAAGTCGCGTGACATCGCCCAAGGAAATAAAAAATATTTTTTTGCGCGTTGCGACCTCCAGCGATGTTAGTGTTGTCTTGCTATGGACAGTGAAAAAGGGGAACACATGTTTTTAAATAATTGCTTTTCCTTCCTTTCGTATGAATAAAAGAAACGAGTTATTGGAATGGAAAACGACAGCCGAGTAATAGGAAAAACGTCGAGCATGTATACTTTAAATTGTATTATTCCAATCTTTGCATCAGAAACTACAACACCCTAATTGTTTTTTGCGACTAACTTTCCCTCATTCTTTATATATTATAAATTAAAATACATCAGGTTTTTGTTCATATAATTCATTTTTATTCCAAATATTAACTCGAAAGGAGAAGTGGTTGGCTTAACACTTCCCTTCACTGCCAGCGCCCTTGGCCCAGAATGAGGAGACGCCACTGTTCAAAACAAGCGGTAGAGGTGCGCACGAAATAGAGTGAATTAAGAGTATGATTCATTTCTGCAACTTTTCTCATTATTTCTGGGGAAGTGCTGCACTGAGGAGCTGCCACAATTTTAAAAGTGATATGGCGGGGTTTTGACTGAACACTAAAATCGAAAAATAAATTTTCGAAGATTATTTTCTTTGGGCTTTTTTGTTCGGTATATGAATGCTCAATTGGTAAAGTGTTTCGTAACTATCTTTGCTGTCAGAAAAACACCGCATTTTTTTACTATTATGCGAATGTTTCGATAATAGTTGGGAATTTCATGGTAGAATTTTTAGAATACCACGTGAATGTGCGCCTAAGTGTTAGCCTATAAGCTCAGGATTCCACGTCTTCGGGACAGAAGACAAATGACCTCGCCTACTTTTTCACTCACAGAATTATTTTTCACTTACACTATCAAATTCTATCAAACACTATTTTAGTGAGGGATGTCTTACTCATCTCAGCATGGATCAGCCGAAAATTCGCCCACTTTGTTAGTCATCTATTCTGCTATTAAGGGACGTAAAACGACACTTCAATACTTCCGTCACTTTAAGTAGTGATTATTTTCCTTTCGATATTAGTAGTAGCGATAATAAAACTGGGAGAATCAATCATATCTTGGTATCAATACCGAAAGTGCAGGACCTTATCTCATACTACGTAATATTTCAACATACTGTATCGAAAACAATTTAATATGAAGTAAAATTCACTCATCATTTATTTTTTATAGTATGTCGGTAAGATCGGCGTTTTTGCGCTTCTCCTCATGAAAAGAATTCAAACAGTTAACAAGTTACGCTACAGCAGCTTATACGTTCATTTATTATTTGTGAATGATATGTAACATTATAATTTAGATGAACATAAAAAAGTGTTTCCAACGCTCAAAAACAGTCGGTGGGCCTGGGACGCGAATCTATTAGGTTCTGCAGACAACGTCTTAAACCACACATCTCTGAAAACGGAATCAAAATATTGGTATAAATGAGGAAAAAAAGATCGATGCTGCACTAATTTTATAAGCACGTTTTGCTACACAATTTAAAGAAAAAAATTCGAATCATTTTTCAAAACATTTTGAAAAAGTTGTTAGAGCTTCATGAAAAAGTACCCTACTAAATTAAACTATCAATTTCAAATTCAAGGGGTCATGACAACAGTCAAATCGATCGGGGAATATCAAGTTTGGTGCAATTCCTGTGTACGGTTTAGGCCTCAGCGTTGTTCACAAACAGACGCAGGGGCAGACATTATGCCGATTACCACCAAGGTCCCACAAAACGTGTATTCTGACAACACTACCAACTCTAGAAAGCAATTATATATGAGCTAAAGTCCCCTAAATCGGTATTAAGTATCCTCACACGTCTTATTTTGACGCATATCTGACACTTTTCGCTGCAGTATTACATAACTTTCCTTTTGCTAGTAAACGAGCAAGTAAAAGGGCTTAGATACCGTCTCTTTAGTGTAATGCACCGTAGAAGGGATAGAAGGTATTGTGCAAATGTAAATGCAATAATCTACGAAGCCATGGATTAAAATATCACTCCCAATGTGTTTTCGGGGCGCTCTTCCCTTTTGCCTCTATTTTACCTTGTCACTGCTGCCAATCTGAAACAATGTTGTATCCCTGCATACGTGTGTGGTAAAGGAGAACGGACTTTTTTTTACATTTCTATGAACTTTTCTTCCAGCTCTCGAAGACTACTGTTATTTCAAATTACCTGGGGTAGTGGTAGCCAGATGGGTCAAGAAGCATTGGCCTTTCTAGGGTTAATGTCACTCAAAGAGTCTTCTCTTTTAATAAACAAAACACACAGACTAAATTATTTGACGTTTTATTTTTTATTCTTCAATTCATTCATATTCATTTATTCAACAAGTATTTCCAACAGAGTTCTCAACACTTATGTTAATTCTCTCAGAGTTTTAAATTTCAGCAGACAATATTTCTTTGGATGTCAGTTTCCATGATTCCGCTAATGCAATAAAAGTATTGTTAGCTGAACTTTAATGCAAACTTAACTTTCAAAATACCCACTTCAATTGATCTGTCATCATTATCGTGTTTCATTAGAAAAAGGTACCATTATTTCCAACATTGACAATAACAAATGCATTTTGTTATGTGGAATTTTAATTCGGAAGGAAACGTGTTCCATCTGCACAAATGCTGTTTTTTGACTGAGGTATAACAGCACTGCCTAGCACGGGGAGTGTGAGGTAGCGAGATAAAGACCGCTTCATAATCGTCCCGACTGGAAAATAAATAGGGATGATTTCACGGAAACACACTCATACTCCAGAAACGCAACGAGACTATAAACAGCGGATGGTGAACCGAAGTGTTCCTGGGAACGCTTCTAGGGATGCATTGGTTTCGGCAACTGTATCCTGAAGTTCTCTGTTTGGCCGCTGCAATTTCATAGCACGAATCCTCTTAGCTTTGGTGTTGGTTGCGAAGCGAACACGTCTTCCGCGCCAGGTTGCGTTACCGTCTGCGCGTTCCACCTCCATTCGCATACAACAGTGAAGCGGCAGTCGGGTTGTTTATCCTGCTTCTCGGCAAATGCCGCGCTCTGCGATGACACACTGCTTCAACGCACGGTGACTGACACAGAGAGCGTTACACTTGTATTCAAATTCCTCATTCAAATGTATCCTCAGTCATTGTTGATGGCTTTTATTTTCATCGCACTTTGTATTGTTTAGAAGTATCCTATCCAGTTTCAAATGGATATTGTTCTGCAGTCCGCTCCCATGCCCTTACCTGGTGACGTCTTCGGTTGTTATGAATTTGCGTTGCATTTATCGTCAAGCACTATACTTCTCGATTGCATGTTTATGTGCCCGGTCAAGAAGAGAACTACTTTGGTCGGCGCAGTTACAGAAATGAAAGAAATAATCGCACCCTCCACTTGCAAAAGCATCTCCGGTAGCACATTTTCTAGAATTGTCATTGTTAAGCTGTCTCAAAACGATTGTTAAACTTCTACGCCATGTAGGGGGTTGAAGATTATAACTTTTGGTCAATGGACGTGGGGGGTAAAACCCATACAAAGAATTTACACATGTGCCATTTGACTCACAGTGGGAGGTAACATATCTTGCACTGATGTTTATCAGGTACACAAAATCTCTTTGAATGTGTCAGAACGTATGCCTGGTTAACTTTATAGTACGATATCAAATGCGTCCACGTGATTTCGTCGTACCAGATTTCCTACCACAGGATCATCGGCAAAAAGTGAACATCTTCGACCCCATACTGCTCTAGAAGTTTCTAACATTTATTCCGAGGCAATCTCTATTATACGATATCCACTTCATAATGATCGTGAGCAACGGTAGAGTTCTCTGCAGCTCACAGCACGGAGGTCAGAAAAGTTCTTCCCCGAGAGAAATACCTCTCTACATCTGCCCACGCTAAAATAACACTATCCCAGCTGGTTGACAGTTATGATCCGATCGGGTGTCAGAGCTCTATATTCCTGGACGCCGCCACGGTGACGGTGGTTGCCACCAGGGTGGTGGTGGAGGCGGCGATCGAGGCCGCTGTGGCGGGGGCGGCAGGGCCCGTGGGGAGCGCACGTCGGTCGATGCCGTCGACCTCGTCCTCGTCCTCGCCGTCCAGCCACGGAGCCCAGACGCCGCCGTGCAGCGCGGGGTCCGCCCGGGGGTCCACCGGCGCGTTCAGCTGCGGCGCCTGCTGCGCGCGGAAGGCCCCGAGCAGCGCGCGCAGGCGCTGCAGCTGCGCGGGCTGCTGCGCCGACGCGTCGCGCGTCTCGCACGGGTCCTCCTCCAGGTCGAACAGGCAGCCCGCGACGCACGGCGCGTAGCCCAGGGTGTCCTGCGGGCAGGAGCGCACGCTGTGGACGAACGCTTACCACTAACTGATTGTTAGTGATTCTGCGCGCGTAAACTGGTGAAGTCATTAGTCGCGTAAGTGTGGTGCATGTTTTTATCGCACGAGGTGGTGGTGATCTTCCCTCGCTGGCTGGCGAGATCCAGCGCTGACCTACGTCGGCTACGGGAGATTTCTCCAATCAGGAATCTTCCAACTGCATAGCACCGCCCCAGCCGCGACAAGCTTTAAGCCCTCGATTGATCTCCCGGCATTTGTGATAGTGCAGTGCTTGAAGCCTATCTGTATGTAAATAAGCGGTGAGAATAGGGCAAGGAAGAGGAAAGAAAAATCGCGTGCGGTCCGTCGCTCGTTTGAAAGGGTACTGCTCCTTCATTCGCCTAGTGTTGATCGGAGAAGCCACGGAAAACTACCGATCAGAGTCGGCCACGAGAATACTTCAGATAGTGGCTGAATTCGACATATCTACTTAGCTAATGTCGAAAATCTTTCCACTAGGACTCAAACCCAAGACATCTCGGTCAGAGGCACTGCTGTGACATCGTCACCGTAAGATAGTCACCTCTCACGGTAAGATAAACATAGGAGAAGAGAAAGAAGTAATCCCAGGCTCGCGCCGTGCCTACCTGCAGGCCGTTGCAGGAGACGGCGCCCGCGGCGAGCGTGCGGAGCACGTCGGCGGCGGTGACGTTGTCGTCCAGGCCCAGCGCCCGCGCCGCGTCCGCCGTCGCCTGGGCGTCGTACGCCGGGTAGGGGGCCCCGCGCGCCGGCGCGCCCAGGTGCCCGTCGTACGCCCCCGACTGCGCACCCACACACAGCAATCAATCACGTGAGTGGCCGTTTAGTCCTTCCGTTGGTCACCTGCCTCTGTCAGCTGCTTTGTTGCAATACATAAAACAATTTGAAGCTTGGCGCCAGCGCGCAGGCTGCCGCAGTGAGCCCGGTTGAGGCTCTCTAAGCAGTGGAACCAGTTACGCGAGCGAGGCGCAGACACACATATGGTGACGTCGTCGCCGGGACAGCACGAGCTGCGGACGGAGCAGGCAGTCTGGTTTTGTGAGATGTTCATAGTGGTCACTGTAATTCTGCCTTACTTCCCGCAACTAGTCTATGCCTCAACACACGAAGGGAAGTGTAGAGTTTGCAGGCAATATCTGTGCACTCGCCCACCGTTACAGTGCGAGCCAACGCTGGAAATAGTGACTTCTAGTAGCAAACATTCTGTTTAACGTAACCACACAAAATGCTTTTTCACAAAATAGCACGCATACTGCTCAAGAATAACAAATAAAATACTGGAACTCTACAATACATTAAATAGTTAACTAACCAGTTCTTAACATACCAATAATGTTAAAAGTTGCTGTTCCATGTCGCGACACGTAAGTAGCAAGTACTTAGGGGTGGTCGGCCTCTTCCTTGGAAGCACACTGTCATAGTGTACAGACATCTCTTGCAAAATCTACTTACTTAGCTTATCAAAATGTACTAATTTTTTTCATTTTTATACAGCCCATGGTCATATAATTATTACCACCTGCCAAAATGTAATGTTTTTTTTGCTTTCCCCTCATTTCCAAACTTTAGTTGCATCTCCTCCCTTCGAGCTCCTTCAGCGCTCTGAGACTCACGTCGTGAGTTCCCTCGACGTACTTCCAGCGCCCGGCCAGCACTCCAGACAGCCCGATCACGTCGTCCACGTTGAGCAGCAGGCTCTCCCGCGGCGCAGGCACCTCCTCGTCCGCTGCGCAACGCAAGGGCTCCGCTTTGGGTGCGTTCACATTGGTTGCGCGCTTTGCAGAAATCGCTTTCGGGAGGACACGGCCGTTTACGACCCGCTGTTTCACTCCCTAGAGCGCAGGTCGGGACGGGCTCTGGCGAAAACGGCCGGCCCTCCAAGACGGCAGAACGGAATACAAAAAAAGGGCGTTATTTGGATGGACTGAGTCATGCAGCAAGGACATTCCAAACGTGTTAAAATAGTTTTTGAAAGAGAAACTTCGTGGAAGACAATCACTTCTCCAAAACTATGGCAAGATTAATTGATTTATGTTTCAGGGTACGACAACTGCTACGGCCATTAGTCCCGTTAGTGTAGTGAAATTGTATCTCGGGATGTGGTGGTGTTCCTCTCCAGTGGATGGAGAGATCTAGGCCGAACCTACATGACGGCTTGTGGGAGATATCCTCCTCCAGATATCTCCTCCAGCCGGGACAAGCTCTAAGCACCGGATCTGCCGACAAGTGTGGTAGTGTATAGCATGCTAGTGAAAGAGTATGAGTAAAGGTAGCGGGTAGGACAAGGTAGAGGAAGGAAAGATCGCACGCGGTTCTTGTTCTGTTTGTTTCGATGGGTGCTGATCCAGCATGCACTGGTATAAATAGGAGAAACCACGGGAAACTAATGATCAGAGCAACTAGAAGTCTCCTTTAGCCAACGACTGAATTCGACTACCAAGTATCGAAATAATTCCGGAATGTTTTCCATTTGAAGGAGGATGTTTTCTTAAAGTTGAATAGAAAAAAAATTATACTCGATTGCAATCCGCCGAAATTATTTTTATTTTATGCTGACTGTTCTATTTACATACGCGTATACTATTGTACGGCCACTTTCTAATGATTTTCCATGGATTGGAGAACATGCAAATTAGAGATATTCACCCACATAATTGCAAATCTGTGATATATATCCTTATGAGATCACAGATTTACTTAGTTTATTATTCTCATTTCAACTAGCATGGCATTAATACACTGCTTCTGGCTAAGAATAAATATACTTAAGAATATCCAGTAGAACTGAAACAATGAAGTCAGAATGCCCTCCCCTAAGCAATTCGCCTGGTATCTTAAAGGCGGTTCCGCGCATTCGGGAGAGGCGAGTGAATGGCCGCCGAAGGCCGAGCTGTAGCAATGAGTTGCTTGCTATTTGCTGAGCGCCAAACATCCCAAGCTTGCCCTATCAGCAGCACGGAGGTCTTTTGTGCACATCAAAGAACGCGAACATTCTCTGACCACCTCGGGATAGGAGTGAGTGAGCGGGCGAATATTGAGTTTTTCCAGCGAGTCAACTACTGAGGACGTAAATTCCGTAAGAATGGTGCATGCTATATCCTGGGAGATGGGGGTGATATTCTCCTGTGCTCCGGCCGACCATCTTGTATACGTCGACTTAGAGGTTTTCCTTTTCAAGTATCTCTTCCAGAAAGGCAGTTTTCGAACCGCTCCGTGCTCCCGGATGATCTTTCGGCTTGAAGGTCTAGTGCACGTGTGTGTGTGTGTGTGTGTGTGTGTGTGTGTGTATGAGAGGAATGGGTGGGACAAAAGGGGGAAAGACCGATCGCGGTTCTTGGCCTGTTTGTTAGGGAACTGCTCCGGCATTC